GTCCTGCAGGTTGTCCTCAGCGCCGTGCTGCAGCAGCAGCTCGACCACCCGCTCGTGGCCGAACACGGCGGCGCCCATCAGCAGCGTGAGGCCGCTCACCTCCCCTCTCTCGTACGTCGCGTCGGCCCGCCAGCCAGCGTCAAGCCACGCCAGCACCGCCTCCTCCTCGCCTCGCTCCGCCGCTGCCACGACCTCATCGGAGGCTCTCACGCCACCGCTCGATGCCCGCCCCGCCGCCACCGCTGGAGATAGCGTCTTCGCGGCTCTCGATCCAGCCGAGGAAGCGCCGCCTGCGCCTGCGCCGCCGGCTGCCGTCGCCGTGGGCCGTCCCGCCACCACCTCCTGGACGTGCTTCTTGAAGGCCTCGACGCACTCGGCGTGGCCCTGCTCCTTGGCCCACTGACGCGCCGTCATGCCGTTCGCAGTGCGCGCCGCCGCGTTTGCGCCCGCCCGCAGCAAGCGCCGAACGACGGCGGGCTGGCCTTGGTCGGCGGCGGCCATCAGCGCGGTGAAGCCGTTGCTACTCTGCAGGTTGACCTCCGCGCCGTGCCGCAGCAGCAAGTCGACCACCCGCTCGTGGCCTTGGCCGGCGGTGGCCATCAGCGCGGTGAAGCCGTCGCTGTTCTGCAAGTTGATCTCCGCCCCGTGCTGCAGCAACAGCTCGACCACCCGCTCGTGGCCGTAGCCGGCGGCGCCCATCAGCAGCGTGAGGCCGCTCACGCCGTCTCTCTCGTACGTCGCGTTGACCCGAAGGCCGCCCTCAAGCCACTCCAGTATCACCGCCTCCTCGCCTCGCTCCGCTGCTACCACGACCGCATCGGGGGCTGCCGCGGCACCGCTCGACGCCCGCTCCGCCGCCGCTGGCGACAGATTACCCGGCCGCACCCGCACGCTCTCGCCGCCGCCCTCGAGCGCCACAGCGTACCGCCCGCCCTCGAAGCTCTGAGCCTCGCCCCGCTGCCCGTTCAGCTCGGGGCGGGAAGAGAGCCCGCCGAGTACGACTCGCTGTCCGAGCAGCGGCGCGTCCACCGCTACCGCTGCCGCGCCCGAGGAAGCGCCGCCCGCCCCTGCCCGGCCGTCTGCAGCCGCCTCCGCCTCAGCTAAGACCTTGATGCACTCGGCGTAGCCGTTCTCCTTGGCCAGCTGCAGCGCCGTCTTGCCGTCAGCAGTGCGCGCCGCCGCGTCTGCGCCCGCCCGAAGCAAGCGCCGCACGACGGCGGGGCGGTTGAAGAGGGCGGCGCCCATCAACGCGGTCCAACCGCCGCTGTTCTGCTGGTCGACCTCCGCCCCACGCCGCATCAGCAAGTCGACCACCCGCTCGCGGCCTTCCTGGGCGGCCGCCATCAGCGCGGTGGCGCCGTTGTTGCTCTGCAGGTCGATCTTCGCGCCGTGCTGCAGCAGCAAGTCGACCACCCGCTCGTGGCCGTACAAGGCGGCGCCGATCAGCAGCGTGAGGCCGCTCACGCCGTCTCTCTCGTACGTCGCGTTGACCCGCCCGCCGCTGTCGAGCCACGCCAGCACCGCCTTCTCCTCACCACGCTCCGCCGCTATCACGGCCGCGTCGGAGCGGCTCAGGGATCCTGCGCTACTGCCAAGCTCCATCGCAACGCCCCCGCTCGCGTGCACTCGCCATCGTTTGGGTTCCGGCGCCCTGGGGGGTAGGGGGGCCAGCGGTTTTTCTCATTTTTGCAAAAACTGGCTTTGCATTTTGTGCGGAACAGAAAACAAAGTTAAGAACAGAGCAGCGCCACCATCAGCATCACTTTCGCGCCCCGCGACGTACCGCCGCTTCGCGGCGTTCCACCCGAGGACCGATCGCAACATTTCGTGCAGTGGTGGAGTCACAGTGAGTAAGAAAGAAAACAGACAACCCAGACGAGGGATAGGGGAGGAGGACAGGGTCCACACCTGCACGAGCAGGATTTTGGAAGGACGATCAGGGGGACAGGTGGGCTCTCCTGCTCCTGACAAGCAAAAGGCGCGGCCGGGCGAGACAAGTCGGCTCTTTGCGCCCCCCCCCTAGCTAGGGGTCAGGGCTCTCTAGCCCGTAGCCCGATGCCGATCATCCGGCTCGCTGGGTGCGCTTCTTAGCTCCCCGGCCCTGGATGTGAGGTTGCCGACTGCACTCCAAGTGCTCCAAGTGCTTTGGTGGGTAGGGGCATGACGCCACCGGCGCAATGCGCAGAGCCGTTCAGGATGGGTCTGGTGGCTTGCGAGCGGGCGAGGCGTGCCTGACCAGCCGCTGTCTCGTCGGCCTGCCAAGCTGCTCTCGCTCGACAGCGCAGAGGCCGCAGGGCAGCTGGGACGACGAGCCTGACGGCGGAAAGCGAAAGTCGGCGCTGAACGTAAAAGTTTGATTTTACTTATTTTTTCAGCTACACTTCGAAACAAGCGAAGGTACGTACCACACGATTGCACGCACCGCACCGCACCCCGCACCCCGCGCCCGCCGCCTCCCCACCGCCCCGCCTAGGTGGGAAGGATATGAGGAGATGGGACAGCGAAGGTGGAAGGGGGTGGTAGCCGCCCCTGCCACCCTCGGCGTGTGCCTCGGCCGCCCCTGACAGTGTGCCCGTGGTAGCGAGCGACTGCCAGTGAGAAGCCGGAGGTGGGAGGAAGGTCGCTAGTCGAGAGAGATCGCCAGTGGAATAGGGAGTCCGCCGTGCTGCGAACCTGGTCGCTGTCCCTTTTGTCAGGAGCAGGAGAACTAGGAGAGCGCAACCAGTAGGAGGCCCGCGCCTGCCGCCGTGCTGCCGGGTGCAACCCGTCCTATACGAGAGGGGAATCCCTGGGACCCTGTCGTAACTGAGGCGTGGCCAGCAGCGGAGAAGAAAGATGGCACAGGAGAGCTGGCCACCGCGTCCAAGCTCCGCCTCACAAACGACCACGACTGGTGGCGCAAGGCACCGCGCTCAAAGAACGTGACCTTCCCTCCCGGCTGCCCTGCCCTCAGCAACTACAGCATGAGCTCCATGCACACTTTTTACCAGGGATGGGAACAAACATTCTCGGCTTCCTTCGTTGCACCATTCAAGGTTGCACCATTCAAGAACTCGAATGGTGGGCCGACTGTGGGACCGGAGAGCGCGACAACAGCGAGGCTTCAGGCTTCCAAGCAGCAGCGCCACACTTTTTACCAGGGGGCCGGGGAGACTGTGCACATGCTCGGCTCCCATGCTCGGCTCCCTTCGTTGCTCCCTACCCTTTCAAGAACTCGCGCTGTGGTGTGTGCTGTGTGGTGGGCTGGTCATAGGGTACCCTGAGGCTGTGGCCTATCTGCACATGATTTCGCACCACAGACCTATGTGTTGCACGGAACACGTGCCCCCCGCCCACAGGTCCGTCACGTTCACTCATTAGACCACGCGCCCGGGCGCAAAGAGACACCGGAGAGGGAGAGAGAGACACACGCCGCTCGCCGCCTCTACCACGTCAGCATCGGGCGTCCGGCCGGGGAACGCTGCACCCATACAAACAACACGTTCGCCATCCGCCGAATCCGGCTCTCTTGCGGCACCGGTGGCACGGGGGAGAGAGGTCTCTTCTCCCCCTTCCCCTCCTCCTCCTCCTCCCACTCCTCCTCCTCCTCGACGTCGGCCGACTCGCCGCCCGGAGGCACCGTCGGCCCGGAGGCCGGCCTCGCTCTCGGCGCCGCAACGCTCCCCGTACTGCCGAGCGCCGCCCCTCGCCCCCGGCCCCTGCTCGCCGTCTTCCGCCGCGACCGACTCACCGCCTGACGCGGTGCGTCGACGCTGTCAGTATATTTCTCGACCGCCTGCAAGGCCGCCTCCCTGTCGTCCTCCACAAGCCGATTGTGCGCCTATATACAGTACGCGCCATGAATACGCGAGGGTCAGGGGGGGGGGAGGGCATGACTGCGGTGTGCATACCGCGCCGTGTGATCGGGGAGCACCGCACGAATACAAGGGCTACAATGGACGGACCGGCTGAATGCGTCCTCCTCTCGAGAGCGCTCTCGTCGAAACATCAGTGTGTAGTGCCCATCTACAGGCTTGTGCGCGCGCCCTGCTCTCGCGCCGCCGGCGGTAGCGCGGCAGGAAGATGCAAGCGCAGAGCGCGGTCGCCGCGGCCAGCAAAGCGGCCACCGTCACCAGCGAAGTGGCGAGGCCTCGGCGGAAGCTGCAGATGCCCGGCGCGCCAGGCCTCGGCGGGTAGATGCCCGGCGCGCCAGGGTCGCACCCAGACAGATCGCTGATGACGCCAGCAGCCCCGGCGGAGACAATGGACACCACATAGGGCGCGTCTGGCGGCGGCGACGGCGGCAGCAACGGCGGCGGCGAGGGCGGCGGCGGTGACGGGGGAGGGGGCGAGGGCGGCGGCGGCGACGGCGGCGGCGACGGCGGCGGCGGCGATGGCGGTGGAGACGAAGGCGGCGGCGGTGACGGTGGCGGAGGGCTTGGAGGGCTTGGAGGCGGCGGTGGCGGAGAAGGAGGCGGCGGCGAGGGCGGCGGGGGTAGGGGCGGCGGGGGTAGGGGCGGCGGGTCTAGGGGCGGAGGATAAGGTGGCACTGGGGGCAGGGGAGGCGCCGGCGGCGGTGGGTAAGGCTGTGGCGGCAGCGGCGGCAGCGGCGGCGGAGGGTCCGGTGAGGGTGGTGGCGGCGAGGGAGGGGGCAGCGATGGAGGGGTCGGCGATGGAGGGGGCGGCCAGGGTGGTGGCGGCGAGGGCGGTGGTGGGCTTGGTGGGGGCGGCGATGGAGGGGGCGGGGAGAGCGGCGGCGGCCGGGGTGGGGGCGGCGAGGGAGGGGGCGGCGAGGGAGGGGGCGGCGAGGGCGTGGGCGGCGAGGGAGGGGGCGGCGAGGGCGTGGGCGGCGAGGGCGGCGGAGAGGGAGGGGGCGGCGGCTGGGGCGGCGGGTAGTTGCACTCCGTCGGGTAGTCCGAGTCCAAGATGCAGATATCGGGAAGGTCCACGGGCAGGGGGCAGGCGAAGTGGTTGGTGCCGCCCAGCTTGCAGTAGTGCAGATTCAGGTCGGTGAGCTGCTTCGGCACCGTTCCGGAGATGTCATTGTTGTACAGGTAAATTTCCTTCAGCTGCGGGCACCACTTGTCCGTCTCAGGGATGGTGCCCGAGATGGAGTTGCCGTGCAGGTAAAGATTCTGCAGCTGCGAGAGCTTGCCCATATCCGCAGGGATGGTGCCCGAGATGGCGTTGCCGTCCAGGTAAAGTTCCTGCAGCTGCCAAAATATGCCCAGCTGCGGAGGGATGGTGCCCGACAGCTCTTGGTTGTCCAGCTCCACCCCGGTGCCCGTGAAGGTGCCGTCGCACAGCGATGTGCCATACTCGCCGGTAGGGCATCCAGAAGAGCATGGCACGTTGTTGTCGCAGATCGTGCCCGCCGCCTCGCAGCGATCCGCCAGCAGGAGAAGCGTGAGCGGGAAGAGGGGCGGCGCCGAGGAAGAGCAAGCCGCCGTTAACAGCGTAAGAGCGAGTGATTTTGCTAACGTCATGGCCGGGATCAGCTCGACGATCCCGCTCGCCTGCATCCAAGCGTGAGCGCCGGGGATCAGGATGCTGTTCACAGCACGCCGGGGCCACTCACTAGGTGTCCAGTCCGAGCCTGGCTGTTCTTCACCTTTCTACCTACCTACCTACCTAGGGAACCTAGAGCCCACGGTTCCCGGGGGTTGTCTCGTGAATAAACGAGTATAACGAGCGGTGGTTTCGCATCCTTCCTGCGCCTTCTCCTTCGCCTCCTCCTTCGCCTCCTCCTTCGCCTCCTCCATCGCCTCCTCCATCGCTTAGGCTGTACCAGGTTTTCCTCTCGCACCCCGTCTGTTTTCCTTTCCTTTTTTTCTACCTCTCTTTTCCTCTCTATTTTCCCGGGAAAACTCCGTGGAACGCTGTGTTGTTTACGATGTGGCTGAGGGGTAGAATGAGGCTGTTGGAAGTGCTGTTGGTCACTCTGTGAGAGGTGGAGTAACCGACAGCTGAGGTCGCTGCCGCACTCATTTTTTAAAATGAAGTCGGGGGCACGACGCCCCCCCCGCCCCCCCCGGCACACACGGAGTCTTCGAGATAAGTTTGCGCCCACTGCTCCATGCACACGGCCGCGCTGTTAGCCTGAGGTGTGTGTTAACGTGTTCATGGCCGCATGCCACTGCTTCTCACTGTGCAACACAACCGAGGTGCACAGCTTCCTGACGCTGCGACCCGACACCGTTGTTGACGAGAGCAGCGTTTGGTTCGCCTACCTCTCTCACGTTTACGCGGGACCGCCGGTGACGCCCACTGTCCGCCTGTAGCTTCCTAGCACTTCGACTACTCCGCTCTCACTAGCAGTACCGCTGATTGCCGCCGTCTCCTCTGCTGAGTCCAGCAGCGGCGCTCGCACTTCATCGCCACCACCGTCTGCTCCAGTGTCCCTCGCAGGCGCTCCCGTTTGACCTGTCAAGGTGGAGCTGCTTCCACACACTGGCCGTAACACTTCCGCCCGGATCTCGGCTACTCTTGGCTCACCTCTGCAGGCTCAACTTCTTCTATGCCAACGACCACGCATGGCCTCCGGACGTCGAGTGGCCGATGTCGCCGTGCAGGTGGAACGACCACGGCGACGTCTTGAGTTCGAGAAGCCTGCCCCGGCCGCTTTGTCCCGCCGCGCAGTGCGCGCGCTGGACCTCGAACGCTCACAACACGACTCGCCGGAGGAGTCACAGTCTGGGGTGGCTGAGCTGGGTGCCTCTGCCGAATCTAGACGGCGGCACGCGCGGCACCGCAATCTTTGCCTACCCGTTCGGTCACGGCGCGGCGGCGGCGTCGGAGTCGACGGCGATCGCGCGTACGAGACACCTGCTGGGGCACGAGGCGTACGTCGACGGGGAGTGGCTCGAGGCGATCGGGCTATACCTCGGCCGCGGCCCGGTCGAGAGAACCTCGGCCAAGTCTCGGCCAAGTCTCTCCCCGACCCGCCCAAGGTGATCAGGACCGACGACCGCGGGTACTGGCAGAACCGCGGGCGCTGGCTCGAGGGTGCCAACGAGTACGGCGTCTGGTTTTACAAGGCGGCGGGGAGCGGCATCTGGCTCAACGCTGGCCGAACACACACCATCTTTCACCGGCTCCGCCCAAACAGCTCGCTGGAGAGGCGGTGGCGGGCGGATGCTCTCATCAACCACACCGCGCGCGAGGTGCAGTGGCGCCGGGCGCCGCGGCGGGGGGAGCACTTCCCGATGCTTGGCGCCGACCTCAACCTCGACACCGTCCAGGTCCAGTTCCGCGACGTCTCGTGGAGTAGCAGCCGGCCGTATGCAGAGGTGGTATGTACCGCTCCCGGCTGCATGCATGCGCCGGCGGCGCAGGCGCCCGCGCCGATCGGCGCGTGCCCTGCCGTCGTGGAGTTGCGGCGGGGCTTCGCGCACTCGCTCCCTTGCCGCTGCCCCGCCGTTGGCACGTTTGGGAGGACGGTGAGGGGCAGGGTGAGGGAGGAACCGACGCTGCGGTGCGCACCGGTCAATGGCACCCTTCGCCACGCCCTTCCCCGCCTCGCTGCAGCCCACAGCCACACCAGCGCGAGCGCAACGGAGTCCGGTGTTGTCGTCGACCAGCGCGAGCCGAACCTGAACGCAGCCTCGCCGCTGCGCTCGTCGGCCGCCACCACGACCTCGTCCTGCGCGGCGGCACTGCAGGGCGCCTCTTGGGGCTATGGCGGATACCTGCACTCGATCGTGCAGCGGCAGGCGGCCTTTGCCCTCGAGGGCCGCGTCGCGCGTCCACTGCTGCTGCACGCGGCGATGCGCGGCGACGCGGCATGGCGGAGGATGGTGCTGCAGAAGTGGCGGCCGAGCGCTGCAAGCGGCGTGCTCAACACGAGCCACCAGCACGCGGAGGAGCGGGCGGGCTTCAACTGTTCGCACCGCTGCCGGGGGCGGCACCTCGACTGCTTTCTTGAGCACTCGCCGACGAGCCCCAACACGTCCTCGCCGGAGCCGCCCTGCACGACATCCCCGCGAAGGAGGCGGGAGCGCGTGCACGGCAAAGTCTCCTCCGCAGCTGTCGGCCCGCTGAGCCCGCCGGCGGTTGTGAGCACGAGCCCGCCGGCGCCGGATGCTGCGCGTCACGAGGCGGACGCGCGCGGCGTGCTCCGTGGCGAGTTCTGGGCGGTGGCGCGCGCAGTCGAGCGGCTGCTGCGCCCGACGCCGTGGCTCGCGCATCGTCTCGAGCGCACGGCCGCGCGCGTGGGCCTGCGCGCGGCGCCGCGCCCGTGGCTCGCAATGCACCTCCGCCGCGGCGACTCGTGCCGCGACGGGCGGCGCTCCGGGCGCGTCTGCGCCAACGGAACCGTGTACGCCGCGGCCGCGGTGGAGATGCAGCGGGCGCACGGCTTTCGCTCGCTCGTGGTGGCCACCGACTCCGCCGCCGCGCTGGCCGAGCTCGAGGGGGCGCTGCCACGCGCGGGCTGGCGCGCCGAAGCGACGCGGGCTGAGGTGCAGACGGAGGCGCGGGCGGAAGAAGGGCGCGCGGAGAAGTTCGGCGGCCGGGGCGCGGCTCCGCGCTTGCGCGTGCACGGCCTGCTCGCGACGGGGAGCGCGGCGCGCGACTCCTGGCAGCACGCGGCAGCCAAGGTGCGCATCGAGGCCGAGTGGGCCGGCGGACGGCTAGACCCGTGGAGTGACTTCGAGGCCGTCTTGCTCGACGTGCTCACGCTCGCCGGCGCGGACGGCTTCGTCGGCAAGTACACTTCCAACCTCGACCGGATGGTGCTCGAGCTCATGGCGGCGCGCCGCGGCGTGATGCCGCCGCACAAGTCGCTCGACGCGCCGTGGTGCTTTGGTGGGATGGGGCGCACGCCGCACACGGCCAAAGGCACGTTTGTCTGCCACGCGCCGCTTGCGGGCACCGAGGCGGCGGTCGAGCGCGCGGCGCAGGAGGAGGCGTTGCGCGCGTGGGCGGCGCGCGAGCCGTCGCGACGCGCAGCGGGTGCAGATGCGCAGGCGTTGCTTGTGGCAAATGTGAGCGACGGCGCCACCATCGTCTGCGGCGCTGCCCGCGGTGGATGAAGCCGCGCACCGTACACAGAGACCGCATGGGCGGGGACCCGCTTTCTTTTGCCCGCACCTGTTGGATCGGCTGATGCGCAGGGACGTGGATCAGTGAGCTCGAGAAGCCCGAGAGACGGGCTCGAGAAGCCCGAGAGACGGGCGAGTACGAGGTCGTGGTCGGCAAGAGCGGCGGAAAGTTCAAGTGCCGTGGGATAAATGTCCGCTCGTGGACGGCTTTGACTACCCGCCGCCTCCGCTCCATCCCGTCGGGCGCCTCGACGCTGACACGACCGGCCTGCTCCTCTTTTGCCGCGACGGGACCTGACGTTCCCAAAGTGCGTATCTAGATGCGGGCTCTGGAGGACACATGGACGGCTGCGCCCCGTTCCGCGTTAGACTGTGTCACCGGCGTGCACTCCACTGCAGGAGCGGGAGCACATCACGATGGGTCCCCCGCCTTCGCGCTTTGTGTCGAGCGAGCTGCAGGGGCAGATCCTGGCCATCAAGACGTCGGCGCGCGTCAGCTTCGTGCGCGACCTCTCCGAGCATGCGCAGCGCGACCTCGGCGTCCACGTTGACCTTTGGAGGAGTTCACTCGAATTGTCGAACCGACGACTAGCTCTCGTGAACGTCAGCGGCACAGCATTGAGGGCGGCAGAGGGCCGCAGCACGCTCGCAGGCAGCCGGGGCCGCTTCGAGCTCGGGCGCCCCCCCAGCTCGTTCGAGCGGGGGCTCGCGGGCGCCCCCAGCTTCGAGCGGGCGCCCGGGGCGGGGACCCCGCTTCGAGCGGGCAGATGCGGCCGGGGATTCGCTATCTCGTATCTGAAATGTCTGCCTCGAAAGGGGAAACGACTAACCTGATCTGGTGATCTCAGAATCACTCCTCACCCACATCGGCGCTCCCTCTCAGCCATCACGCCTCTCAGGACGATGGCTTCTAAGGAAGCCGTCGTCTGCGCCTTGTCTGTCGTGTGAATCGTGCGTGTGCGAGAGCCTTTTGTTGTGAAATTCTTTCTGCTCAACACGGTCGTGCGATTCGACCCGACCACAGATGTTTGGGAGGAGGTGGCGCCGCTGGTGACGTCACGGATCAATCCCCTCGTCCACCTTCTTTAGGCGCTGCAACGACAACTTAGTGTTACTTAGTGCCCGGTCTTCTGACCATACTGCGTACCAGTCCTGATCGAGGTGCTCATGAGCCGTGGTTCTTGTCGAGCTAACGTACGGCCGAGGAAAGAGTCGATGCGTTGCGTGCGCTTTCATGGTAAATTATTTTTAATTTGTGTATCGAGGGGCGTGGCTGGTGCGTGGGCCGCGTCTCTCGCCTCCTTTAGGCACTTGTGGGCGCAGAGAGAGAGATTTGGTTTTTGTTCGCGCCGGTGAGCGATAGAGGGGCAAAGAAGGAAAACAGAGAACCCAAACGAGTGCCGCCGGTGCATATCCTGCCGAGGCCGGGCTGCACTCAGAGTAGGTAGGTAGGTAGAAAGATGAACAACAGTCAGGCTCGGACTGGACACCAGCGCGGTATGGGTGGACGCGGGACAGATGATACTCAGACGGCGCTCTCAAAAAAGAAAAAAGAAAAAAGAAAATGAAGGTCACATTGCGACACGCTTTGGCGGCTCACACCTAAGACAAGGTCAAAGGCTTGCATGTTAGCTGCCTTTGGCTCGTACCACCTCACCGCCGAGCCGTCCACGCACTGGGGCTGCGCGGACCTGTGCGGACCAAACGCCACTCTCGCATGCGTGCAAAGCTCGGAGGAAAACGAGTACGTGGCGCGCCTCGCCGCCGATGCGGGCGTGACTTGGTTCTGGATCGGCAACTACCAGCGGCCCGCCGAAGCGGAGCCCGGCGGCGGCTGGGACGTTTGCCAGTCCGGCGAGACGGCAAACTTTGTCAATTGGGACAAGTTTGAGCCAAACAATTATCGCGGCGCAGAAGAGTGCGCCCTTATGATCGATGGGTTGTGGCACGACGGCCATTGCTACCTTGAGTTCCCCTGCCTCTGCAAGTCTGGCGCCAACCCCTCCCCAGAGTACATGGCCTTCGCGGAGGTGGAGCGCGAGCGGGACAAGTCCCTTCGCGCTGCGGCCCCCGTCCTGCACTACATGGCGCTTGCTCTCTGCTCTGCCGTGTCCGGGCTCAGCCTGGTCTGGGCGCTGGTCTGCCTTTTCCGAGACGTGCGGCGAAAGCACGAGCAGTCTGCGGGTGCGGGCCTAGAGATGGTGCAGAGCGACGCGGGGCTTGGTCCGCACGACCAGCGGGTGCACGCCTCGCTCCTTTCTTGCGACGTCATGCTGCTCCGCTGCAGCTGGCTGCGCTCGCGCCCACCCGGCTACGTGCTGCCGCGCCGGCAGGACCTGCCACCAGAGGCGCTGTTTCCGCCCAAGGAGGCGGCCGCGCTCTTTGCTCGGCAGGACCGCAGCGCGTGTGCGCTCACCTACGGCTGTGCGCCCCGCCCTGCAACCCCCCCCCCCCCTGTGTGGAGCGTCTCAGCCTCTCGCATACTGCACGATAGGGTCCACGCCACACCACCCCGACCCAAGCGGCGAGAACCTGCAGCACATCGTGTCCTTCCTGAACTCGCCCACTGGGCATGATTTCGTCGCGCTCTTCTGGGACCAAGCGAGCTTGGTCCAGGCATGCCGCCTTCCCCGCCCGCCGCCGCCCTTCCCGCCGGCGCTTTGCCCCCGCCGCCGAGCCCCCCCCCCCCCCCCCTCCCTCCCCTACGCACTCAGCCCTCCCCGCTGCCGCCCTCCCCTCCCCCGTGCCAGCTCTGCACACATCCAAACGCTGAGGGCGCGGCGGTTGAGTGACTCGCACTGCTGCCGGCGTCCGCAGAAGGATGCTGCTGGCGTGCGCACCGACGAGGAGGCCAAGATCTTTGCCGCGTCGCTCGCGGTGATGGCGGGGCTGTACGCGAGCCCCCGTTGCGTGACAGTGCTGCGGCTGACCAACATCCCAGAGCCGCCAGAGTGGGGCAAGCGCTCCGTCTGCCTCTTCGACTTGAAGAAGGGCATCGGCGAGCAGGCGATCCTCGCGGCGCTTGGCAGCTTTGGTGCGATCGAGACGTACGAGCTGGACATAGCTCCTGCGATCGTTCGATTCACCACGCGCGAAGCGGCGCTTGCCGCCGTGGCGGCTGGCGCAGAGCAGCTGTGCAAGGGCATCGGCATGCTGTACAACATGCGGCCGTACGAGCAGCGCGGCTGGTGCGTCGGCCGCGTCTCTCGCAGGTACTTGTGGCTCTCGCTCCTTCTGACCTCACTCGCGGCGCACAGGTGCCACGGTGAGAGCAACTTCGCGAAGATCATCCTCGGCACGCAAAGCGAGCTCGGGCTGGGCAGCGCGGGGCACGCGCCCAAGATGATCGACGTGCTGGACGAGCAGCCTGTGACCCTTACGAGCGCGCCCGCGCCCGACGCGTTCAGGGCTCAGTTTGAGGAGACGGTGGAAGGGAGCGAGGAGCGGGTCATCGCCTTCACCGGCAAGGGCGACCAGGACAAGGTGGCGCGTGCGATGATGCCCCATTGAACCACGGTGGGCTTGCCCGCCTCACCGCCACCGCCGCCGCCGCCGCAGGTGGTGGATATGTACGTCAGCTATTACACGTCGGTCGTGTTCGAGGAGCGCGCTCGGCAGCGGATGCGGGAGCAGCGCGCCGCCGCGGACAGGCGCAAGAGGCGCGTCCGCCTCGTCGCCTTTGGCGGGGGGCTGGCCGTCTGGTTGGCGTCACTCGCCGTCCTCGTCGTCGGGACTCTCCTAAACAGCTTGATTGCTCCCACCATCATCAGCATCATGGGGTCAGCTTTCGTCTGGGGATTACTCTTGATGCTCCTCGCCGTGCTGCCCACGGACGAGGACCTTGTCCGCGGGCTCTCCGTCTATTTGGTGCTTCTGCTGCTGCTTCTCGGATGGTTATACTGGTTGTTGGCGGGGTGGGGGCTGCACCCGTTGACTACGGCTAGGCTCTAGGGGGACTCGGCGGGAAACAGCCTCCTAGCCATGACCTCCTCCCTAGCCACCGCTGCCTTTCTCCCTGCCTGGCGCGACGCCTTTCTCGCCGGCTTGCTGCCGTGCTGCTCCACCCGCGTCGGCCCCCGGGCGATGACTGCCCCCGCCTGCTTGAGCCGCCTTTGGCTGGTTTTGAGGCTGTGGGGTGGAGTGCTAGGAGCGTTCGCCGTGAGCATTGCTGCGGCCGATTCGTCCTGGCCGTTCTATCTCTCTGGCGCCGCCATCCTCCTCACCGCCCTCGCTCTCCGCCCCTCCGCCCGCCGCTACTTGCAAGCCCGCCTCGCCCGCCTCGGCGCCTCCGGCGGAGGCGACGACGCGCAGCTGGCGGCGCTGGCGGCTCTCTCCGGCGGCGGCGAGAAGGCGCTGGCGCGCGCGCAGGCGGCCTTCCGCCTGCTGCCCTTTGACCAGCTTAGAGGTGCGGATGAGCTGCCGGGCGGGGGCGTGGCGGGCGGCGCGGGCGTCGCGTTGCGAGAGCGTGCGGTGGCCGCCAGCCTGGGAGCTGAGCATTCGGTCTTTGTGAGCCACTCCTGGCACGACAGCCGCGAGGGCAAGTGGGCGGCGCTTCAGCAGTGGGCGGTGAGCGACACGGCGAAGCGGGGCACGGCGCCGCTGCTCTGGCTGGACGCCGCGTGCGTCGCCCCCGAGGACGCGGGCGCGCTCGAGCTGCTGCCGCTCCTCGTCAGCGGCTGCCAGCGCTTCCTCATCCTGGCGGGGCCGACCTACGCGAACAGGCGCGCGCGGAAGAGGCCGTGAGAAAGAGATGTGCTCCGCTTCACACTTACTCTCGTCGTCGACTAGGTTGTGGTGCGTGGTCGAGCTCTTCTGCTTCCTCAAGAATGGAGGCGACATCGACCGTGTGACCGTGTTGCCCGTCGTCGAGGCCAGCAACGAGGCGGACGAGGCGGCGGCGGACGCGACAACAGCGCTGCAGCGCGAGCTCGGGCGGTTCAGCGTGGAGCGGGCGCGCTGCTCGCAGGAGCGGGACACGCAGAAGCTGCTCGGCTGCATCGTGCGTGCCCGCAGCGCCAGCCTGAGCCTCGCCCACGCGCGCCGTGCTACTCCGACGCCCCTCCCCCCGTGGCGTGGCAGGCGGCTGGGTTCGGCAAGTACGAGTCGTTCAACCAGGTGGTGCGCCGCATCTTCTCCGACCAGGCGAGCTCCATCTTTGGTGTTGCAGGCCCTCGAATGCCGTTCGAGCTTGAGCCTTTGGAGATGGAGGAGCAGCTGAGGCACGCAGCACACGTCATTCAGCGGCACGTCCGCCACTTCATCGCTTGAGCGGTGACGTCTCGAGATGTCCTAGAAGTCATAGTCTTTTCCATGAGAGGTTAAGTGAGAGAGAGGTGGCACTGATTGACTGATTGATACATTGCCCCGGTGCTCATGGTCATGCGAGGCAAGTTCACTCCCCCTCCGGAACTTGTGAGTGACGAACCTTGTTTCTTGCGTCCGGTGTACCTGTCTGTGTTAGTGCCAGTGCGCACCAGTCCCGTGCCCAGTGTCGTGCGAGGGAGCTTTGTTGTAAAATTCTTGCGCCCCGTGGTGTACCTGTGTTAGTGCCAGTGCGCGCCAGTCCCGTGCCCAGTGTCGTGCGAGGGAGTTTTGTTGTAAAATTCTTGCCTCCCAACCAAAAAAGAATTCCCCGCCGCGACGACCTCTGTCGCGCGAGATACACATGTACATGTCCTCGCCCGAACCGCACCGGCCTCTTATTTTCTTCCTTTCATCCTGCCCGGGCTGCGTCCCCCGTCCCCCCCGGGGGGGGGGGGGGGACGCACCAGGGAGGCCGAGTGAGAGTTGTGCGACGCGGCTTTCCACCTACCCGGCTCTCGCGAAATCATGGCGCAGAAACGCGCCGGAAAGCTGCCAGACACCAGCTCCAAGTACAAGCTTCTCGTCGGCGAGGCAATCCAGATGACCGCCGGCGCCAATAAGACCGTGGAGCGCATGCAGCAGGCAGCGCAAAAGCTGCGCGCTGCCATCGCTCTGTGCCCAGGGCGGCGCGACGCCTATGGAATGCTGGCGCAGATGGAAATTTTGTGGGTCCCGGGCGCGGTGATTTCGTCCTATGCGAAAGCCGAGTCGCTCTCCATGCTGCATGACGAGCTGTGGGCCAAATCGGCCGTCACCGTCTTGGGCGACCCTCTCGCCACCGTCGGCGGAGGCGACCGTCAGCTAGTGATGCAGTGTCTCCTGAATTTGAGGCTCCGCGCATGGTCAGGGTCGCCCAGTCCTCCTCAAGAATGATTTTTGTATTTTGAGCTGATCTTGGGGCTATAAGCCTACAGAAGCCGAGCGCGTAGCGCGAGGCCCCAAATCGGGTCCATGGCGGTGACCCAGACTAACACCAAAGATCCTCTGCGTTGAACGAACCCAATGGACCTCTGCGAGCGGTCCTTCGTTGCAGTCGCACACACGCACACGCCACGCCGCACCGCGCGCCCGCCCACCGCCCCGCCCAGGCGGGAAAGAGATGAGGAGATGGGACAGCAAAGGAGGAAGCCCAAACACGTATGGGAGGGTTCAGTAATGCGCCACGCTGCCCGGCGTCTCTCACTTTCCGGGACAGCCCCGCCCTTGTGAGGCAGGAAAGTGACGGCTACCCCGTACGCCCTGCGGCCTGCTACTCCGACGCCGACCGCCCATTCCCCCCTCCTCGATCCCTCCTCGAATTCTCCGGACCCCGACAAGCCGCCCGACGTTTGGCCTCCGCCCTGCACGCCCCCGCCCCTTCTGCCCCTCGCACACACCCCGGCCCGACACGCACAGGGACCCCGACAAGCCGCCTGACGATGGGCTCCACTGCCCCGCACGCCCCCGCCCCTTCTGCCCCTCGCTCACACCCCGGCCCGACACGCACATACAAGACAAACCCGGCGTCCTGCTCTCAAAAGAAAAAGAAAAAAGGGAATGAGGAGACCAGCGGGGGAGACTCCCCGCCTATGCAAGCCCCAGAGAGGGGCCGCCATCGCCGAAGCTGTGCCAAAGCATAACTCCAAAACCCGCAGCGGCCCAGGAGGCCTTGGGGGCAGCCTGCCGGACCGCCGCTGCACGGGGCTAGGCACCAGAAGATGAGTGGAATTGATGAATTGGGCCGTTGTCCGTGCCTCCCCTCTATACGTCAGAGTGGGACCTACGCCGCGCCGGGTAAGGGGCGCGCCCGGTCCTCGACGGAGCCGCGCGCCCCAAACGACCCAGGCGGCGAGTAGTCGACCTCGAACCTTCGACATGTAGTTGCCCGTGGTTAGCGCCCGCCCGCCCCCCCCTCCGTCGCTTCGTAAAAGAAAAAACGAAAACAAAACAAACAAGCAAAAGAGAAAGCGAAGCCAAAAAACGATTGCGTAAACGGCGTCACAAAGCCCGCCGGTTTTGATCGACAATCGTGAGATTGACCGCCGTCGACCAGAGAATGGCAGACGATGCGTCAGCTTGTGCGGCGCTCGCGCCGCGCAGGCTGGCCCATCGAGGGCACTCTCTGGCGCTGTCCGGGCCAAGCGCGGCGCCGCGCATGCCGCGTGCCACTCGCCGTGGCTCGCGGTGCAGCGCCACTGCAGCCTCGAAAACGTCGCGCACAGCACCAGCATGCCGCCCACCAGGCAGCAGAGTACTGCACCGGCGTGCAGCGGACGCTGCGGCGCTGCGGTGCCGCCTCCCCGCCCTGTCCACGGAGCAGGCGAGCGGCGGCACGGCCTTCCACCAGCTGCAGGAGGTGCGCACTTCCCGAAGGAAGCACCAGATGCACCTCCAGCACCCGCAGCTTTGCGCAGCGCAGCGCACGGGCCACGCCACGCAAAGCCGACCCCCAGTCTGCCCAAGAGGCTGTCTGCGGAAGGCCTGGCAGCGCGTACTCGCCTCCTCCGCGGCCATGCCCTCCGCCCGGGCGAGCGAGGAGCAGGGACACAACCAATTTTTTTCGTACTCCTCTCTCCCTAAGCAGCAGCGAAGTGCCGTGCGCTCACTCGGGATGAGCCCAGCTGGCTGAGCCTGAGTGTCTTGTGAGTTTGTGTGTCTGTGTGTCGCTCTAGCGTGCGTCATCTCCTGTCCGGCGTCCACCCATACCGCACGGCCAAGATCATCAACTTCGTGCCTCCGTTTCCATTCTCCAGAGCCAGCGGCCGAGCCCATCCACCCCCAGTGATTACAAACTTTCGGCGACCCGAATTTCGGCGAGACCCATTTTCGGCGACCCGATTTGCGACACCAAGTGCTGCAAAAGGAGCCGGTGGACATGGTGCTCGGCCTCGCGTGCGCTGTGCTCACCTTCCTGGCGGCGCTGGTGGCGACGCTCGTCGCCTACCAGTCCTATGTCGTGTGCTACGCCGTCCTCGGCGCGGTGCTGCTCGGAGGCCTCTACCTCTTCTTCGTCCACCGCTTCGACTGGCTCTACCCCCCGTACTGCAACTGGATCGACACGGAGATCATCCGCGAGTGGTACCAGCATGGCCCACTCAAGCACGTCGGCAAGGACTGCCTCGAGGCGGTGAAGGCCGAGAACGCCACGCTGCCCAAGGGCGTGACGCGCGAGGGCAAGCGCACGCAGGAGGAGGACAAGGCGATGGCGGGCGAGACGTGGGTGCACCCTGTCGAGCGGGACGAGGTGCACAAGTTCAAGCGCGGCGACGTGACGGATGTGTCGCCGGCCGCGCAGCAGACGATGAAGGAGACGATGACGCCGGAGGAGTGGGAGCGCCTGCACAAGTCGCTGCGCATGAAGGACATGCCCAGCTATCGCGCCAAGTACGGCTGGTTGCTCGAGTACTTCATGGGCCTCGGCCACGAGACGCCCGCGGAGCAGGCGGCGGCCAAGAAGTATCCGCAGCTTCCCGGCTGCCGCATGCTCAACGAGCTCATCCTGGGTGTGGTCGGCGCCAATGATGGCATCGGCTTCCACTGGGACCGCGGCTCCTACTCGCAGCTCTACCACGAGGAGGACGCCGTCTCGACGTGGGTGCAGTTCTCGGACGAGGGCCCCGGCATGTCGATGCTGCGGCAGCGCGACCTGTGCGACGAGACGTGGGAGAATGGCCTGCAGGGGCAAAACTTCGAGCCCGCCTCCGCCGAGGCGAAGGAGCACACCAAGCGCGCCACGCTGCCGTGCCCCACCATGCAGGGCTCCCTCATCATCTTTGACCGCCGCGAGATCCATCGCACGACGCCCATCGAGCGCGACTACGACGCTCCGCTCAAGCTTCGCACGGTCTCCGTCGCGCGCTGGATTGCGCCCGACGCGCCCCTCTCGGGCGCCGGGAAAGACGTGCCGCTGCACGCCATCCCCAACGCGATGCAGGCCTACATGCTCGGCGCGCGCAACTACTTTCTCCGCCCGCTTTCGGACGCGGGCCGCACGCTCGCCGACACGCTGCGCCCGACCACGTCGGTCTAGGGTCGAGGCGATGGCCGCGGTGATGGGCGGCACGAATTCACTGGGCGGCACTGGTTAGTTCATTACGCGTTCATTAGGCGATGGCCGCGGTGATGGGTGGCACGCAGTCGCTGCACACAAACTCGTTTGACGAGGCCACCGCACACCGCGACCCGCACACCCGCACACCCGCGACCGGCACACCCGCACACCCGCGGCCCGCACACTTAGGCATACGCCGCGCATAGCATGTGCGGCGGGCTCTGCCGGGGATGGGGCTGCTGCGAGGCGCGGGGCGTGGCGCAGCCGCAGGATGGGAGCGGCGAGGCGCGAGGCGAGGGCGAGGGCGAGGGCGAGCTGAGCTCGGATGGCGACTCGGACGGGGGGGAGGAGGGCGTGGACTGGTTTGCGGGAGACCCTGCGTGGGGCTCGGCGGCGCTGGAGGACGAGTGGCGCGCCGCGTCTCTCGCGAGGCAGGCGGTAGGCGACGCGGCGTACGCCGCGGCGCATGCTGCTGGCGCTTCGCGGGCTGAGGCGTGCGACGCCGCCGTGCGGGCGGTGAGGGCGGACAGGGTTGAGGCTCGGTCCTCATTCCTCGTGCGCGCTGGGTGGTACGGCTCCGGCCGTGATGGGGGCGGGGAGGGGGCGGGGGCGACGGCCGCACGGAATCGCCGCCGGCGGGGGGCGAGGGCGCGGGCGAAGGAGGAGGAGCCAGAGCCCGGGGAGGATTGGGAGGGGGAGGAGCGGCCGGAGGAGTACGCCGGCCTCTTTGACGACCCGTATGGGGCCGTCGCCTGCTGTGCCATTTGTAGTGCCAGTCCGAGCCAGTCTGCTGTGAGAGCGTGACTATAAAATAGTTAGAGGCTGCGCAGGCCGTCCCGTTTGCTGTTTGAAACGCCTTGTTGCGGGCTGGCTGCGCGCGCGCGCTGGCCCGCGCTGCCGGGGCTCTGTCTCACTCTCACGTGCCGCAATATGTGTCACACACGGCGGTTTCTGCCACCTCTCGATTGGTTCTACTTTCTCCGCACACCTACCGGGGAAGGGGCGCTTGGGAGCGGGGGCGGGGGCGGGGGCGGGGGCGCGCAGCGCGGCTGCGCGGCGCGCGCAACAGAGGGTAGGGTGGGGAAGAC